AGCCTCAAACTTTGACCTGTCGCCACGCTACTCTTTTTTTCACAGCTCCCTACTGGACTCCTTTTACCCAATCACCAGGATTCTGTGGCAAACAGCAGTAGACAAGTTGAGGTTACTTGGTCTCCAGTACTGGCAGGTTTTGAAAAAAGGCGGGGCTTTGGGACCATGGCGAAAATCGCCATCACGCCATGGAAATACGTTTGTCTCATTTCTTCAGTTATCGTGATATTGCTACGAAACTTCTGGTGAGTGATCCTAGTCTGAGCTCCAAGAGAAATAGACAGCTGAAGTTTGTGGGCGTGGCCTATATTCTTAAATAGCGCCCCCTAGAGCCATTAAAACTTTCAGCCCCAAGCCATGCTTTGACTGAGGATTACGAAATTTGGTACACTAATGTGGGGTCTCAGGACCTACAAAAAAGTCTCTTGGAGCCAAGCGTAAAGTCGCACAGGAAGTCGGCCATTTTGGTGCAAGTACGTGATTTAGTGGTTTTCGCACACATTGTTTGGAGAGTGATGCTCCGTCGCCCTTTTCACCAATCACCTTCAAACTTCTGCAATACACTCTTAAGACATAGGGGAAAAAATTCAACTGTCGGATTTTTCAAAAGTTGAAAGGTGTGGGCGTGGCTAAGCCTCAAACGTTGACCTTTCGCCATTACTTTACTTGACTTAATAACTCCCATGTGCATGATCAGATCTTTTTCGAACTTTGTCTGTGTGATCATTGACCATATCTGTAAACAATGACAATGTGGACAGCTGACATCACCTAAGCCCCGCCCCCTGACTACAGGAATTTATTTTTTATGCTGAAATGCCCATATTTGTCCCCTCTAATTTAGTCAACATGACCCTAAGGTCATGCACTGTCTTCATGATGCTGTAATGACCATTCAGATCTGATAGCTTTCCAGAAAGGGAGGGGCTTTGATGCCATGGCGAATTCTGGCGTAACGCCGTAATCTTAATATTCAATTTAATGGTGAGCTCAGAGGGGATGCTGAGTCAGGGTGAGGTGCAGACTAGGAGGCCATTCGCGGTTTCTGGTGTCGGGGTGGTTGACGTTTCTGTTCTGTCAGACGTGCACTGGTGCGACGGCAGACCGGAGCGGCGCGGAGCTGCGAGGGCCGAACGACGCTGCTTGCAGCTTTAATTTATTCTATTATTCATTGGATCGGTTATATTACGCAACCACGGTAAATTGTTGCTGTGTTGTGGGGCGTAACGTGATCCCCAGGGAAAAAGGTGGAAAACAAGCTAACTTTTCACGGAGACCAAGTATCTATAACAGAGTCTCGTCGGCCCGCTTGGATCACAACTGTAAAGCAACCAAACATCACCTTCTGGAGTATTTTCATTTTTTTAAGTTACAGATGGTGTATGTTTTTTACTCATCGTGTCTTTCCTTCAACAGCAACATGCACACACAACACACACACACACTGGTAGGCTAATGACGGCGCACTGACACAACACAATTCCTCCTGCTACACTTCTTCTATAGGATGACAATTTTGATCGTTTTACTAGGAAAACAAGCAAAAGAAACGTTTACGTCTCACCCGCACGTTTACATCCGCTCACACCACAAACATGTAGGCCGAACACGTCTGTTATGCAGAGCTACAGTGGCAACACGTTGTCGTTGGTTCTCTAGTCTTGGGTCTTTCATATGGATCCAAACCCTTAATAATGCTAATACTGGTCCCTGGCTTTCCTCTTTAACATATGCCTGTAAATTCCCCACATCCGTTTAGGGATTTTAACATGTTAACGCTTCCTTTCTCCAAAATCTGCTTCTTCTCTGCAGCACACGGTTTGTTTACACTCGTAAGGTCATCAACATGTCTTCCACATCCCAGAATGCAACAAATAATCACGTGTGATCCCGAGCCTTGTAACGAATTTGCAACTTCGGACTGCCAGTCCAGTCTGTTGGACTTAGAAAAAAGTTGAGCTGACATACTTGGTGCAGCAGTCTGCTTCCAGCAAGTTTCCTTCATGTTATAGATCATGACCACAGCTGATTTGTTTGATTTACTTGTGAATCGCTACTGTCGATATTAATGAAGGCTGGGGAGACATTTCAACAGTTAGATTAAGGTGTTAAAAAAACAATCACACAGCGAGGAGCTAAGTTGTGCTTAGGGGTTCTACTAAAGGGACACTAGGAACGCTAAAAGCAAGCCATAACTGCCTAGTCTCCCCTTAAAACATTTAGTTAATTTAGTATTTTCTAAGTTTTTTTAGTTTTGCACAGTCCGTGTAAAAATGGTTCAGGATAGATTCCTCTGCATGTAGTACTAAAAACACGACAAAGGAATCTTGTTTCCTATGCTGTGATGTTTGAGTTACTGAGCTTTAAATCCAGCGGCGCTACGGTAGCAACAAAGAGAGCTGCAGGCACAATTTAGGAGCAGCACTTCATGATAAAAGGAGACAAAGATTCCTTACTGAGAAAATAAAACAGACATGGTGGCCATGATGAGACTTGTTTTACTGAAGCTACACACACTCTGAACCTTCAGATCAGCAGGTCTTGCATTTGCATGTGGGTGTTTTTATGCTTTAGATGTAGAAAGTTTCTCTTGAATGGTTCCTGCTCTGGTTAGAAGTCAGCTCGTCTCCTTCAGGAAAATTCTCACCGGCTCTCTGAACTGCAGGGAAGATACTGGCCGACCACAACGACCCCACACAGCCCCACTTCTAATACTAAAAGTAATCCTTTAAAAAAACATTTAAATTAAGAAACAACTAAACACTGTTGCTTTTTGTGAGAGAAGCTTCAGGCAGGGGCGTACCACAACATCCTACACTGTTGGCACTCACTAGCGTCTCCCCCACATTACTCTTTACTATGATCGTTCAGATCTTCACTTAACTGTAAATGCCTCATGAAAAAAGGACAAAATCATCAGTTTGTCTGCAGATGGAAAATAAGCTGTTCACTACAATAATTATAGCATTTTGAGTCAAATATATTATAAGTAATGTTAGGTGAAGTACTAGTTATGCTTGATAATTACTTACTAACTGCAGAGGCTCTTCCAAAATCACTTCAGTCTATAGACATTAAACACATTTCTGATGTCAACACTCCAGAAATTTAAACTCAGTGGTTTCTGAACAAAACATGTTTTAAATGGCTTCAACTTCTTCAATAATAGAACTAGTGAACTCAGCAAGCAAGTTTACGATGTAGAACGCTTCATGAAAAGAATATGTGAACATATGTGTAATCAGCAGTTTGTGCTTTCCCTTCATGCATTAAGGACAGAGCTGCAGCCTGCTGGGGGAGATGAACAAGGCCGGCCGAGTGAGAGAGAGAGAGAGAGAGAGAGAGAGAGAGAGAGAGAGAGAGAGAGTGTGTGTGTGTGTGTGTGTGTGTGTGTGTGTGTGTGTGTGTGTGTGTGTGTGTGTGTGTGTGTGTGTGTGTGTGTGTGTGTGTGTGTTGGCCAATATGTGTTTCACGCACCCGGCTGGCTCCTCATCAACTTATTTTTCCAAATTTGGTCTCAACTGCACTTTTTTCTGCTCCTAATTATTGGATGAAAGAACAAAGTCAGAGACAAAAATGTGTGTAAGTGCACTGCCTGGACAAAAAAAAGTCTCCACCAAAAAAAAAAAAACCCAATAAAATTAAACAAAGGTCACTCTAGTAGTTTGTTGCCTTGAACTTTTGATTACGACATATCCGATGTGGCGTTGTTTCGATAAGCTTCTGCAGACGTCACAAGATTTATTTCCATCCAGTGTTGCATTAATGTGTCACTAAAACCTTGTATTGATGATGGTAGAGCTGCACAAAGCCTTCTCCAGCACATCCCAATGATGTGGCTAAGGTCTGGACTCTGTGGTGGCCAATACATATGTAAAAATGATGCGTCATGCTCCCTGAACCACTTTCTCACTACTGGAGCCCATCGAATCCTGGCGTTGTCATTTTGGAATATGCCCGTGCCGTCAGGGAAGATGGAATAACCTGGCCATTCAGTATAATCAGGTAGTCAGCTGACCTCATTCTTGGAGCACATCCTGTTGAAGAACATAGACCTGAACAACTGCAGCAACCCCAGATCATAGCACTGCCCCCACAGGCTTGTACAGTAGGCACTCGGCATGATGCCTCTCTTCTTACCCTGATGCACCATCACTCTGGAACAGGGTCTATCTGGACTCATCAGTCTTTAATTACGTGTTTTCTGTAAAGTGACCTTGGGTGTCCTGAAAGGCGCTTTGAAATAAAATGTATTATATTATTAATATTATTATTATTATTTAATAATGCTGTGGCGGAGCACACCTGAGGCCGATCACCAGGAGAAGAGTCTGATTGCCCTGAGACCTGGGACGAGCACTAGGAGTGTGTAGGTCAGACCAGGAGAGCCTAATACAGAGTTGAACCTGCAAGCTGTGTGGTCTGAGTGGTGTGGGTGAACCCAGTGTAGCTGGTGTATTGCTACAAATGCAATCTGCAATCTCCTTAGATGTTTTCTCTGACAGATGCATGCCGATGATCTGACCCTTCTCAAACAGACTAACATCTTTTCCACGACCACCAGATGTGTCTTTCCACATGGTTGTTTAAGAAATGAGAAGAAACTCATTGCACCAGTTGGGGTTAAATAACATGTTGTCAGCTGAAAGATAATCACCCATGCAGTACTTATCCAATAGGAAGCCCCAACCTATTTGCTTAGTTAAATCCAGGTGGCAACTTATTTTGGACAGGCAGTCCATATATATATATATATATATATATATATATATATATATATATATATTTATATATATATATATATATATATATTTATATATATATATGAAACTGCAAAATATCACACATTTTAAAAGCTCACTGTACCTCCAACTATACTCAAATCCCATTATATGCAATTTAAATAAATATGAAATGAGCTGAAACTGTTACGTGTGGACTAAAACCAAAAAGGGGACCAATCTTTTTTTCACAGCTCTTTTTTTTGTTCAGGAACATAGAAAAATGTTCTTTTTACTGAACAGTTTGAAGACTTTTTATCCTGCAGCTTTAGTTTGCCGTCATGCTCCACTGATAAGAGCACCGGTCTTCCTATAGGAGGAACCTGGCCTGATCTAAATTCCTCATGGAATGAAGTAGAAAACTGTCTTGTTATTTAACTCTTCTACAAACTAAATAGATTCTCTTTTTACATTTTCCGTTTCAGATTATCACCTTTCCCGCAGACAGAGCAGCAATAGGGTCTCTCTCCAGTGTGCAGCCTCTCGTGGTACCTCAGGCTGTGGGGGTCCCTCAGAGACTTCCCACAGAAGCTGCAGAGAAATCCCCCTTTGGTGTGGGAGAACATGTGTCGCTGGAGATCAAGCTTCTGGGTGAAAGCCTGGCTGCACTCGAGGCAGGGAAACGGCCTCTCTCCTCTGTGAAGTCTCAAATGGTACTCTAGGTTCCCTGAGGCGGACAGACAGACCAAGACCAAACATGTTAGGGTGGAGGGGGAGGCGACAAAGAGAGGAGGACTCAAATGATTATGTATCAGTCCAATAATGTGAGAAAATTTGCCTTTAAACAAAAAAAATTATGCTGCCAGTTTGACGGATGGCAGGCTGCAGTAATTGATCACAGCTGGAAGTTTTTTCTCAGATGAATTTTTCTTCTACGGCAAAAATTAACTCATCAATGCAACAGCAACGGGTTTACAGACAGAAACACAAACTTTAACGTGACAGGTTTTTGTTTCAGATGACTATTTATTTATTTTATCATATTAGTTAAGAATTTGATGGATTTAAATGTCCACACTTTTGTCAGTAATAGGATTATTATTACACACATATGCTCAAAATAATCATATTTCAAAAGCCTTTCATTCCTTGAATCAAAGCCTGTCACCCGCTGCCTTTCATGACACGTTTTCCACTCAGGTCATCTTATGGTGAAACGTGATGAAATGAAACCAATTGGGTCAAACTTTGAAAATGATTTTAGCAGTTTCCCAACATCTCATACAATGGGTTTGACACACGACCTGCAAGACATGGTTTACTGTTCAGATTGGATTAAAACGCTAAATGGTTTTTTTTTTTTTACTAGTGAAGATAGCAGTTTAGATCACATGACCTGTCTTAATGTATTAGGTGAATGTGTGTATTTATATATATGAATAAAACTAATTTTTAAATGTATTTTAACACAACTTAATATATATGGAGCTGAGCTATGATGACTTCTCCTCTACCTCCTCCACATAAAGTGACTGTCTTCCTTCAGTTTTGGGTCTTTTTCTTAAAATCAGATGAGTTGCTCCACACACCCATGAAAATTAATAAAATCTTTATTTTCTGATACAAATGCACTAAGTAACAAGCTTTATGATCAATGAAAACAGTCAAAGTTAAACTTGTGTTTAGCTCTTTTTTTAAGCGTGTGCTATAGAATCACATCACAAAGAGGAAGAAAAGACAGTAAAACTGACAGCATTTGTTCTTTTCCTCAGTGACAACAAAATCATTAACAGTGTTTCTGCAGGAAATGAAGACTCCAGTGTCCGTATGTACGAATAAAGAGCTGTCAAAGAAGGGCGCTAAACACACACCACCCCCTTTAGGGGAGGTAACAATAAGAGAGAACAGATGTGAACTAAACACCAGACAGAGCCTCACAGAGGAGAGCAGCTGCCCTAAGCACAGTCTCCTCACTGCCACAAGCTCTTAAAGCTGCGTGCCACAGCAACATTCTGCAGGATGGAAGAATGTCGGACCAGAATGCAAAGGTGTGACGTCATCAGAATTCTGCTCGGCTCTGTAGCCGGACTCGGTTCCATGTTTGAAATGTGTTTCCCCAACCGCTCTGCACGGAAGTGGCAAAATGACGTTTAGCGCTCCTAACAAGTGGATTCTCAGCACTTTGCTCATAAAACAGAAGACCAGCAGGCATATGTGAGTTAAAACATCCTGATACTGTTCAGGTGTAAACATTGTGCTCCATCCCTGACTGTGTTTGAACTCAGAAGTTGCTCCTTGATGCCACAGATTTATGATGATTTAGCTTGTTTCTTTATTTTACTCCAGAATAAGAGATTAAATTATTACAAAAGTAGTTCAATGTAGTTTAATTAGTCATTCAAAAGATTTTAACATGCTGCAGTGTGTACGTGTGTGTGTGTGTGTGTGTGTGTGTGTGTGTGTGTACGTGTGTGTGTGTGTGTGTGTGTGTGTGTGTGTGTGTGTGTGTGTGTGTGTGTGTGTGTGTGTGTGTGTGTGTGTGTGTGTGTTACACATATAGGACTGCATGAGGCAGCATGGTTTCATGAAATCCATGCGTCTTATATCTTGGCTGAAGTAATGGCTCAGGAAAATAACTTCTATTTCATAAATAATGACATCTCTGCAGTGTTCATGATAATATTCTATGTTTTACCTCCCAGACCAAAGATAGGTACAATATATCATGATACAAGCCTTTTAAAACATGTTAAAGTGTTACAAGAGGAGATAAATGCATGAATTAAGTTCATGTTTGGAGACCAACCTTCACAGTTTGGAGGCTCACGCTGGTGAGGAGACACCATTAGTTCTAGTAACACCTGGGCTCCCAAGGTGTATTCTGACAGGATGGACGTTACGGGACCCTTAAGGATTCCAGTTGGATGATTGGAGGATTATTTAGGAGGATTGGAATGAACAAACTGATTTCAGTGGTGAAGGTTTAACTGAGTGAGTGAACCCACTACCAAGGATGAACTCTGCTAACTTTAAAAATCAGCTGCTCTAAATAAGCATGAAGGTCAGAGAGGAGCTCTACATGGACATGGATAAAGGAACTGTAATGTAGAGGTAAAGTAGGGCAGGGCCAACGTTAACAGCTGTCATACGGTCCATCTGAAATGTTTGGCTTTCACTTAGCTTGTTATGTGACAGGTTAGAGCACAGTCTCATGTTAGAGTTTTTCATGAAATCATTGAGATAACTCACATACTGATGGCATCTAAAAATTAACTTTTTTTTCAAAATAAAGAATAATTTTAATCACAATTGAAACGTACAATCCTAGAAAAATCTCATCCAATCAATGTGCACGTCCTGTTCTCACGGATTAGATAGAAATCCTTCCATCAAAGTCTGTGTGTGTGTGTGTGTGTGTGTGTGTGTGTGTGTGTGTGTGTGTGTGTGTGTGTGTGTGTGTGTGTGTGTGTGTGTGTGTGTGTGTGTGTGTGTGTGCGCACACATGAGCGTGTTGTGAACTGGTGTTGTGGTTTTGCACTGATGATGACAAAAATGTATTTAAGTAACTTACTTTGAGTACATTTTATATACGATACTTTTTACTTTTACTTGAGTAAAAATTTAGGCAAGTACTTTTACTTGTACGTGAGTAAAAAATGATCAAAGTATTGGTACTCGTACTTAAGTAGGAAATTTTAGTACTCTTTCCACCTCTGGCATTTAGTCCAACAATATTTATGGACTCCTGGGAGTGAGTAGGATCTGTTTAACGTGAGGAAATATGGGTTTTCTGTGCCAAAGGTTTCATTTGACTCGGCTGGGTCAAAGCTGGGTCACGCAGAACTTTAACCCACTTTTGACGACATAAAGTCTGCAAGAGTCTGCTGCAAACCATAACATCTGAACACCTGCAGTGCCAGAAGATGCGTTCTCATGGAAGATAGTCATAACATAACAAAGTCTTAAACTTCCTTTGTTTATTAATGCTAAATAATCATTTTACCATTGTACTCATTATAAATGTATTTTAATCAAATGAATGATTATTATGCTTTGGGTAATCATAACTAATGAATCAATGCTTAATTAAGTAATGTTTTGAGGATGTTTGGTAACGACCTTCACACACACAAACACTCACTCAAACACTCACACACACACAAACTTTCACAGTAAACTCCAAAACACATTTGCTCTGACGCACAAGTTTTGCTTTGAGAAGAGAAAGGCTTTTGGTAAGTTTTCAGTTCATGATTCAGTTCGGGGTTTGACAACGAAAGAGAGAGGACGTGTGAACAACCGCTAACGGGGGAACGGAGCCCACCGCCCCCCCCCCTCACGCTGTTCCTGCCAAGCCAGACAGGAATAGCTGAATTGCAACCGCTAATGCAGACTCGTCCAGAGTCTTTGATTTTCGGAGTAATTTAAACTTAAGAAAGCGCATCTGCAAACGCTTCATCATCACGTGTACCGAGGGCATCTCTGGACCGGATCGGCGCACACCTTCGTCTCCTCTGCCAGCCAAGGTGTGTCCTGGATGAAACATCCTCCTGGGACGTTCCGGATCTGAACGAGGGTCCTCGTACGGTGAGGCAGAACACAATAGATAGCGTTTGATGCATCTTTTCCAACAAAACCTTTATTCAACCCATCACTTTTCACTCAGACACCTGTTTCTTCCTGAAGCAAAATCAGACGCACACATGCCTTCATCTCACCTCATTATTAAATTTCACACATTCAACACAAGGTCTATTTGAGCAAGTTTAAAATATCAACTGTTTAAGATTGTTCAACAAAGTTGCCAATGTTGATTGTTGTTTCCTATGCTTGTCATTTCAAAATCATTAGTTTAATTTGAAGAATTAAAACTTTTAATTTTCAAACTTGTCTCTTCATTGAACTGAAACACAGACCCACGGATATTATCGACAGTTTATCGATGAAAACAACCTTTGAGTCTTCTTAAAACTATAAAATTTGGTTATTAATTTATTAAAATTTATATCTCAAATTAATATGTAGAATGGTTCCTCTTTCATAAAAGAGCATAAACTATTACACTACATCTGCATCCAAGTCACAGCCATCTACTTCTGGTCCATGGGTCCCCTACAGTCAAAACAATGATTTAGAGTCTATGGAGCAATAAAACTTGTTTTCTGATCCAGTTTGATATGTGCCATGGATTTCAAATTTAAAGGGGCATTATGGAAGTTTGACAGCCAAAACATGTATAGAAATAATACATTTCTTCTTCATACATTCTCCAGCAATGCCCTGGTCCTGTAGAATGAGCCCTGGCATTTTTACTGTGATTGCCTGTTTTTCTGCAAAATCACAGAAAAAGAGAGATGCTCGGGTCGAGCAGGCTGCTTCATGCGCGTTCACGCTCAGGCATCGCCCGTAGCATTTGCTATCAGTAGCTTTAGCAGCAGAGAGAGAGGCCGTGCCAACTCAGTGACTTTGTCGCTGTTCCTAACACCTAGTGACAAAGCTAGCTACATTTCTGAGGACCCTTAGCTACTTTCTGTAGAACTTTCGTCTAGATATTTCCTGCAAATTAGCAACAAAATAGCCACTTTCGCTCCGAACCGTTCTTTGAAAGTTGTTTCAGCTGTCATCAAGGATATAAAAGTTACTGATACAAAGACGTCACTGGCGCTTTAGCTCACCTAGTAAAATGTCGGACTCTCGTGCAGAAGACCTGGGTTCAATTCTAGATGTGAACACAGTTTATTTAGAGTTTCTTATTTACATTAATGGTATATTTTTTTACAGTAAGATGCCCAAATTTTTATTTGAGACTCGCCGAATGGCATTGATTTCACAGATAAAAAAAGATGTGGGTTCAACTTTCATTTTGGAACAATTTTTCAAGCAACGGAAGGGAATCATCTGAGCATGCAGGACTGACCCATCTTAAACCTTTGTCGGCTGTGCTGAAGAGAAAGGTACATAACCAGATTATTTAATTAATTAGCTGCGCGTTCTCCTGTCCTCTGTCCTCCGGGACGGACACACACACACACACACACACACACACACACACGGGACTGTCTCAGCTGTTATTTTTGTTAAGGAGTGTGCACGTACAGCATGCACGCCTCATGCATGAACCCACTATTGAAGCGGCCATTACGCTTTTGGCCTGAGGGGGCAATCGCGAGCCTAAAAATTCAAAACTCCGTAAAGTCCCTTTAATGTCAGTGAATTTTAAAGACACATTTTTATTCATTTAAATGGAAGTATAACAGATATGATTCAGGGCGTAAGGCACAGCAGGTCAGAAAATTTGTTTCAGAGCCCCATTCATTCACTTCCACTCATTTTTGTTCAGGGCACCCATGAGCTGACCTCAAGGGGAGGAGACTGGCTCCATATGGAATGAAGAGAATGAGCTTCAGCTGGACAGCTGCGTTTATAATGAGACGACATCTTTGTCAGGAGGGATACAACCCATCCTCTTCAACAGTAATGCATGTGACATTGGTCTATGAACAGTCAGATGTGGAAACATCCATGTTTACCATTTGAGAATACCCTTAATTTTTTTTGTGCCTCTGGACATAATGACAATAAAGACTATTACCGTAATTTCCGGACTATAGAGCACACCTCAATATAAGCCGCACCGGGCTAAAAGCCGCAGATATCTACTGAATTGAAAACATAGTTTAACTGAACATAACTGAACAAACAAAGCGGAAAAGTTATTGATTCGTTTATTCATCGTCCTCCTGCGCACTGAAACCATTGAAGTCATCTTCTTCAGTGTCGGACTTGAACAGCCTCAGAAGATCTTAGTCACATACCTTTTCTGTGGCGATGTTAGTGTCGCTCTCCGTGTTGCTGTCATCATCCCGGGGTGAAGCTGGGAAAACACGCAGCGCCGTTTTACTGTGAAAAAATCATCCTGGGTGCTTTCCGTAGCACTCCTTTAACCATTCCTTCATTAGACTTTCTAGCATACATCCTTTCTGGTTGACTAAAGCCGCACCTCATTATAAGCCGCATGGTTCAAAGCGTGGGAAAAAGTAGCGGCTTATAGTCCGGAAAATACGATATATTCTATTTAAAGAGCCTTGATGCTGTTATGTGAACTGCATTTAGATTTAGTCCTATTGTTGAGGATGAATTAAAAAAAAACAATCACATAGGTTTGGATAACAATTAAAACTCTTATAAAATCTGAACCATTAATTTAACCTAGCTCATTTTTACATATTTTAACATTTGTTATTTATTTTGTTTGTCGTGGTTATTATGATTGCTTGTTGGCACCTATGAAATATGTCTCATGCATATACAGATTTAAGAGTTTTCCTTTGAACTGATTTAATGTCCAGATTATTTTACAGGTCAAACATGGCGGCCTTAAACAAGATAAACTGTCAGACAAATGTCTAGCTCCATCAGAATGATCACAGCTGACTGCTGATCGGATTGCTGCAGCTGCAGGATCACACCTTACATACCTTTCTGTCTGAAACACTTCCCACATTGCTGACAGATGTGAGGCTTTTCTCCCGTGTGGAGCTTCATGTGGTTCCTCAGGGAATTCGAATTGGCCAGCAACTTGGAGCAGACTGAACACTGCACCTGGGAGACCAAACAAAAAACAAGTTGCAGCAAGCATCTCTGATGACTTTAAAGGGGCCATATCAAAGAAAAGCCACTTTTAGGAGCTTTTGATCATGTGATATTGCTATTTCCTCATGAAACCCATTTTTGCCTACATTCATGTATTTTCCTGTCTCATGTGCAAGTTAAGACCTGCAGACATGAGGATGGAAACTGAGTGTGTCATCCTCCCCATGAATCTAGTCTCAGATCTGAAACCTGTCTCCCCTGGAAGTAGACCACTAATGCCCAGATTTTCAGAGTTGCGAGTATAGAGCGATTCATTTCATGCCGTGGTTGAGAATGTTTTAGTCTGAAAGTCATTAAAAAATCTGCACCAGTACCAGAGTGGATATTCTGACAAATTATCTCTGTGTTGGGGACAAAACGCCGCTGTGAAAACCATGTGTCCTGTCCATAAAGACACACCTAATGGCCAGCAAATTTACTTATATTTTAGTTTCATTGATTGTTATCTGCAAAATACTTGTTGTGTCTCCAAAGATCTTTGAATTTGGTCATTTCAAAGCAGTATTTTATTTGACACTCCGACTCACTTCATATGGACTCACATTGGCTAAACAAACAAAGAAAAAACAGTGGAAAAAGAGTGGAAAACATAATACTGGCAAGTGTAGCTAAAGATAGAAGAAAAAAGTTACTGCCGGGATCAGGAGGCGCGCCTGCGCTAAACTATATGCCAGCCTGTCACTCTAACCGCTGGTCCACTGAGTCTGTTACAAAACATGTCGTCTAACACATATCCTGAGCTGGCCATTACATGCATCTTTGTAGACAGGACGAATGGAACGAGACCAGAACAGGTTCAGGGGGAGAAGAAATGCCAGATGACGCAAATGGGTTACATTCTGCTGCATGTAGGAAAAATCGTAACATCAGTCAAATGCAGCCGAGACAGGAAAATGCATGAATGAAGTCAAAAAAGGGTTTAGGGGTATTTATCATGAGGAAATGACAATAGAAGATGGTGAAAAGCTCCAAAAAGTGGATTTTCCATAATATGGCCCCTTTAATAAAGCTGGTATGATTTGAAATGACCTTTGGAGACTGTGTGTAGCTCATCTTGCTGCAGTGGAGGCGGCGATGAACGCGCAGGGAAGGACGTCGTGCATAAGACTTGCCACAGTTCTCACAGGTGTAAGGCTTCTCTCCGGTGTGCAGGACCATGTGCTCCTGCAGGTCCCGCCTCAGACAGTAGGTTTTCTCACAGTTGGGACAGGAAAATGGACGCTCACCGCGGTGACTCATCTGGAAGCAAATCCTCTATTATTTTAAGTAATATGGATCAGCCCCACTGCTGTGAGTGTTGATTCTTCTTTGGTTTCCTGCTGGGGCTTTTTAACAAGGGAGAGGTCAATCTTTTCAGTACACCAGTGCTCTGGTTCTGAGTCTGGTTTGTGTTAAAATCTTTCCTTTCATTTCAGTAACAAGCAACACTGGCCTAGAGGGCTGTCAAATAAGATGATGGAAGATCTGAGTAATAAAATCCACATTTTCATCATTTTTTAAGAATCCTGACTATAAAGGACTTTTCACTCAGGATTTCTCACATGGAAATCCACGTTATAGATCTTTTTAATGTTGAAAATCTAATGACGTTTGACCAGAAATTATTAAAATAAAAGAAGTTAAAAATGACATTTAAAACAATAATGAATCACATAATATTAAAATAAATCTGGCAATTATCTGTAACTGAAGTGGAAATGTGTCGTCTTCTACAATGCCAGAACTATTTCTAAGGTTCTCTAGGGAGGTTTAGGCCTTGATACTGGGAGCGACCTGGGAGGGGGAATTGGAATTAAGATTCCAAGTAGGTAAGGTGTTTGGGAAAATGCTAAATCCGTAATCTGTCAATAATCTGGGGCATCACAACCTAACCCTTACATAAGAGTGAATTTATCATCAGACCATTTCTAAAATTTTAAACCGGTCTCTTCACGTTGCGTCTAAAGAACTGATACCTTTACAAAGATAATGGGCAGTTTTTCTCCTGTCTCCTTTATTAACTGTGCTAATCACAGGAATCTGGTTAACGTTCTGACATTTTGGGCCTCATCATACTTTCTGGTAAGTGCAGATTATTAATGGAGCATCTAGTCTAGCATGACAGAAAACCTGATGTCTTATTTATGTCTACACTATAGCATGAGGATATCACCTGAGCAGCGGCTTGTCTGATTTCTGACTACTGAACTCTGCTCTTTGTTCATTTGTTTCATGCTTCTCCTTTATGTTGTTCTTTGAAAATAGCAAATAAAAATATTTTTAAACTCTTGGGGAAAGAAAAGAAATGACATCTCTGAGATTTTACAGCGTTCCAGTTAATACATCAGCCTTCAGCTTGATCTCGTAACATCTCTGTGTCATCACTTCAAAGACATTACCTGAGCCACTGAAAAAATACAAAAGTTTGGAAGCTGGGGCTTTTTTTTTTTTGGATTAAATCAATTTTCCAAACCCATATGGGGCCCAAGTTGTTTGACATGACTCTGACCAGAACATCCATGTTAAAGTTAAATGAGAGGAGAGAAAATCAATATAAAAATACATGTTTTACTAATCCACAGAACCACCACTCCCTGTACCTGATGGGCTTTGAAGCTTTCTGCTGAGGTGTAGTGTTTCCCACAGGCCTGGCAGGTGAATGGTTTCTCATGAGTGTGGCTAAACTGATGTTTCTTCAAGTGACCAATCTGGAAGAACTTTTTACCACAGCTGGAACAGCTGTACCGCCTCTCTCGGACCTCCGGTTGCAACTCAGAGACTTTCTCAGCAGGACAAGCTGTGACAACGGACTCAGGGTGTGATGGAGAGACATCTAGGCCTTCAGCTGAGTCTTTGCTCTGCTCTTCATTCTGTTTGGGTGAGTCAGATCCAGCAGGGGGGTGTCGAGTTCTGCTGGACAGACTGTGAACTCGTCGGGGTTTAGCATCTAGACGAGAGCTGCAGCGGACAGAAAGAGATGCGGGGAGTGAGTCGTCTGTGTCTTTGTCTGAAGGGACAGCGTTTGAGTGTCCAACATCTGCTGTGTCTGAAGGAATGTCTTGCTGGATGTCACACTCAGGACTCTGGTTGGATTGGATGATTTTAATTCTCCTCTTCCTCCCAAGTGTGATTGGGTGGCTCCTCCTCAAGCAGCTGTGTTCCTCCTCCTCATCCTGACTTTTCAACTCTTTCTTCTTTGGTCCTTCTTTTGTCTTTTTGGTTATTACAGCCTCGGCCTCTTTAATTTCATCCATGCTTTCCGCTGTCCAATAAAAACATAAAAACTCTCTAGGTTATGATGAAATAAAACACATATTTCCACCTCCTAAAATGCAAAATGTTTTTTTAAATGCATTTCTTGTGTGTAGGATTTGGAAATCGCCTCTTTACCTTCCTGATCATGAATTTGGTGTGCCACAGGGTTCTATCCTTGGTCCTTAGTCATGTTTTTGTAACCAGAAATTAAACGGTCTGTTTTAGTCAACCTCACCTCCAGCGGCCTGAGCTCCATCCATTCATAACGTAACCCACAATGCATCACTGGCCACAATGACACAACGAATGAGAAGAAAGTGTCCTTGGAAACAGAACTGGCACTACGCCCTCTCCGATAAAATGGCAGCTTTCCTTACATTTGTTTTTTCTCTTCTTTTAAACATTTTTGTAATAATTTATTTTTTATCATTTTATACTTTTATTTTTTGGGTACATTCATTTTTTTGTTTTTGTGAAGCACCTCGTGATTTTTATCTTGAGAGGCGCTATATAAAAGATTGTTTTCTTTCTATGTGAGAATGTTCAAAAATAGTCATTTTGGCAAAAATGAATAAAAGAAAATACTATATTGTGATACAGATTTAGGCCACATGGCCTATTCCTACCCAAATGAAAAATAAACCCAGCTTTAATCATTTCATGAGAAAATAACAATACCACATGGTAAAAAAGCTCCAAAAAGTGGATTTTCAATGATATGGCCACTCTAAATTGTTTAATCAGAATAAGAATAAAATAATTATTTAATGATTAAGCTCACACTAAGTTATTTTGGTCACATTTACTTATTTTTAGGTGGTGGTAACGTAATGGGGTGTGCAAAAGCACAATGGCCCCAAGCACATGAAACACGACTGGATAACACAGGCTGACTTAAGCTTCCGGAATGGCCATAAACTTTAGAAAGTTTGGAAACTTTGCTAAAAAGACATGTTTGTGCCAAGAAACCACAAGTTAAATTAACGCTACTGATTCTGCCAAGAAGAGCGGTCAAATAGCCGCCAGAGTAATTAAAAATATTTAACTTTTGATTTTGGTTTCTTTGAATTTTGTCATACACTCCCCACAACATTAACAGGCCGCAACATGTGAGTAAACATTGACTACACTTGTATGTCCATGCTTTAGTGCTTTTATTAATGGCCATTTGTAATAAAACAGTCCACCTGATGTTAGGATTCTATTCCCTGATAATTTGGCTCTTATCAAATCAAATCTTGAAACATTTTTCATTGTTATTTAGGCAAAGTGCTAGTGAATATTCCTATTACAGCCCACGCTGTTTCTTCCTTTAATGTGATTTGATCAGGGTTTGATGAAGGTCTCTGTATTTGCGTAATCTTGCCATTGTACTTAAATATAGAACTCATTGAGATGATTTGAGGCTACAAAAAATAATATTTGAATTTACTTAAATTGAAAACCAGTTATTAAATAAATGTGAGGCTTGAGCCAGATTAATATCCAACACACACAATAAATGAAGGAGGTTCATTCTGTATTCACTTTATCATTCTTTATTTAATTGGCCTTGTTTCCTCATTACCCCATCAGGTTGGTTTGTTTCACTTCTGGTTCATAACATACGCACACGTCCCTTTATACTTTAGTTGTTTTTTCCAGATTAACAATTTGAGCATTCTCAGTTTCATATCTTCTTTTGGTTCTTCTGTCTTTTCTTTTGATCCATTTCAAGGTCTCTTTTATCACACGGTCATTATACGTTCTAGCCAAAATACGGCTTTTCTTTTGTCCCTTTAAATAAAACAATAACAATGTCACTTCCCTGCAGGGATCAAGCGCCTATCTTATTTTCTTTAATTTAGTGTTTATAATTGTTTTTGAGATGCATTTAAGATTTATAGGCTCAATCTGTTTGAATCAGTACACTAAAAGAGCAGGAGTTTAATAAGATATCCACAGTCTGTAGCTTCTGGGTATTTTCTGCATGCGTTCCATCCCTCACCGCACATAAAGCTCCACCAAGTAGGAACAACAAAGGTCTGGATGAGCTGGGCTGTCATATTCCTACTTAACCACTGTGCTGCAATGATTTTATGCTCTTGCTTGGTTTTTCATTTACTTGATGAAGAAACTGTTTCTCCTCAGAGTCTTCTCCATCTTGGTTTAGTTTTATTTTCTGCTGACTGGAGTTTTTGCTCACAAAGCTTCAAACAAGTGATTTTAAAATATGCTGATGTGGAAATGTATTTTATCAAACAGATCAGTGACTCATCTGCTCTGAACATTGTTCAATAACTCTTTATCTTCCTTAAGTAAGACTCTAATTACAACCTTTGTGGTAAACAAGAGTTTTTCAGGGTTCCAGGGGTGACAGTGAGGTAAATGTCCCTCTAGCTCCTCCACATGGACAGCAGGAAACAACATGAAATGGACTGAAGCAATCTAACTGTCTACTTGGCTGTAAATGTTTATATTAACACCTTCTGATGTTGATGTGATTAAACGTTTTTAGCACAGTTTGAGTCTTTTCATCAGTGAGAATGAGAATCACACAGGAACATACCCAAATAGACATTTTTATTTAATTTATATGAAACAAAAATGTAAACAGTTTTAAAACAATTGAACAAAAAAAGATTAGGCATTATACAAAGTATTTGTTGCAATTAACCCCATTTCTAGTTACACAGTAAAACAAACCAAAAATCCTCACTGACGTTTACTAAAAGCAGACTTTTAAGAATCATTTATACGACTTGACTAAAGAAAGAGTGACCACAATCAACTAAAAGTTATTTTTAAGACCAGCCAACCCATGGATACTCAATTCTGGGCCTCGAGGGCCCGTATCCAGCACGTTTTAGGTTTCTCTAGTCCAACACACTAGATTCAGTGGTTGAATCGCCTGTGCAGCAGTTCGTCAGGCTCTGTGGAAGCCTGTTAATTACCTGCTGATTGAAATCAGGTGTGTTGAAGCAGAGTTAAAATCAAAACGTGCTGGATACCGGCCCTCGAGGCCCTCACCCTTAAATTCAAAGACTCTGACGCTTTAAGTGAACATATGAGAATCTTTTTATGTCTAATGATTTCGTGTGCCTTTTCTAGCCTGGCAAGCCATCAAAAAGTTTGCTTCTGCTACTGTCCGTCTAGATTTCAAGGCTAGGCCTTTCCAACACAGCAATTCTGGTCTGTGTTGTAAATGTTTAGACACCTCTGACCATATGACGCTACAAAGTGCTATGCATTTGATAAAGAACAGGGGTCTCATTTACAGTGTGGGGAACGTTACTTTAAAAACGTAATAAGTAACTGATTACTTTGTCAAAATGTAACTCAGTTACTTACGGAGTTACAAGATTATAAAAGTAACTCATTACCAAAAAAAAATAACTATTTCATTACTTTTTTCATTAAAGAATGCAAGAAAAATGGGTTCTCCTCTTAACTAAACTTAATTAATTTACTATAAATGACTACAATACTGAAATATAAATGACTAATGACTGGAACATAATAAAATGTATTTCCAAATGGTTTTTATAAAACTGAATTATTGAAATTAATTTGTTAAAAGGTCACTGTGTGATATTTAACAAGACCCCAATCAGCTAAAATTTATAACTGCAAATAGAAACACCTGTAAGGTTCCCGAGCCTTTAAATGGTCTCTCAGTCTACTTAAATTACTAAAATAAATGTAATTTTGAACAGTATTCTAAGTTTTCTAGCTTCACATAATTGTGTGTTTTTAGTAGCATTTCTGTTGCTGGCAATCTAATAATGGCTAAATAAATAAAAGTCCTATAAAATGACACTAGAAGAAGCACAAATCTGATGGAGGACCCAAACACAGAAGAGCTGAAGCTGGGTGGTAATGACACACAGGTAGTTCTAATAACACCTGAGCGCCCATGACGTCTGAGACTGATGTAACCAGTGTTACAGCGGGACGAAAGAAATGAGCAGAAACAGGTTATAGTAGGATGATGTTGGATGATCTAGGATGGTAGAAGATTGTGACGTCTGAGCGGTGAACGGGTGAGCGGACCTTCAGAATGTCTCGCTGTCACGCCAAGAAGATCAAAGCTGCAGGTCCACGCGTGCAGCAGTGAATCTGCGGGCCGTGATGCACTTGGATGAAAACATTCGCCTCTTTAGCTCCCTATCAGCTGATGATGGCTTCAACACACCACGCAGCTGAATTAGTAACGCACACATTTTCTTATCAGCAACAGAAACGGCGTTATGATAAAAGCAGACGGTAACTAATTAGATTATTCATTACTAAAAAAAATATATATTTTTTAGTTTGTGTGCAACTTTGGACCTGGTGTAAACAGGGCCAGATTAACACTTTGTTGTACCCTGGGCAACAATATTCAAGGGCCCCATCATCATGACCCGAGGATCACCATAATGTGCTCACATAAAGAATATATTACTGTAATATGCAGTAAATATACTCATTACTTGAATGCATGACATCACGTAACCCGGCCAGAGTTACCTTTGACCCACCTCGTGTGGACTGACCAATGAGGAGAGGGTCTTAACTTGAGGCCCTCTCTTCATTGGTCAGTCTGCATGAGACTGACTCTCAACTGACGTTCAAAGTCATAGGCAGCGAAGCGTCTCTGTGCAGCGCAAAAGCCCGGGTGGACAGTTTGTTTAATATAGAGTGACCATATTTCCATTTCCCAACAAGAGGACAGGGGATCTGTGCCTATGACATCACACTATGGCAACGCCACACAAACCATGTTGGGACCCATTTTTTGTAAGAACTAAATTAATATCAGATTCTGCCAATAAAAGGGCTCTAAAACAACTCATATGTAGATATTTTGCATATTTATTGCAAAATCTCATTTTTCTGCATTTTGCCTTGGCCCCCAAAATGTCTTGAAACGGCCCTGGGTGTGTGACTGAGTTTTGAAGGTGATCTGAATTGTGTCAGATGTATAAATATTACATGTGTATAACTTATTGTTTTATACAGGTAAAAACGTGCAGTGGAGATAAATCTACCTACATTTTACTTTTCAACACTTTGTTTTGTTTTCTTGTTTTTATTTAACTATTTTCCTGTCCTGTCTGTCTCTCATCTTCCTGCATCGCCTCTAAACTCTCCAGAAAAACTGCTGCCTGGATTCTTACTTTTTCACCTCATCAGTTACTTTTTAGCAGATCAAAGATCTCCTGAACGCAAAGCGGATTGTGCGTTGCGATGCTGCTTCAGTGAGGTGAAATCACCGCAACACAGGTGATGAGCTCCGCAGTGGCAGAGCGCTTCAAGCACAAATAAGACAGAAAGTAGAGAACATGTGCGGACATGAACGATCGTGTGCTAATTATAGTTTTTTGGTTGCGCCACTTTGAGAATGGACCGTGCGCTGGACGCGGCAGCCTGGAGCACTGCACAACAACGATCATCGCTCTGCCGCTCTCTGTGCTCTCTGCTCAAGAGTCCATGAATGATGTAATATCGGTAGACAACTTTTTTCCGGCTCCCCTGGATGTGTAGGATATCCAGCTCCCCCCATAATTCGATCCCTGCTCCTGGATGAAAAGCCGGACATTTTCATCAATACAAGAACCCCCAGTCCGGACGCCCGGGCAGAGAGTGAAAAGTGGACATGTCCGGGGAAAACAGGACGGTCACCCTAGTTTAATATAAAGCGGGAGGTTACAGATAGGCCTACAGTATTTTGCTCGTGCCCTTGATGCCTTGGGCCCTTTAGAGTTTGTGGGCCCTGGGCAATTGCCCAGTTGCCCATATGGTTAATTCGGCCTTGGGTGTAATCGATGGTGATTAGATGCCAAACAATACTTCATAGACAGTGCAGATCTTTCGAGGTGTAAATTGATGAGACAGCGGTCAACAGAAATTTCTCCCCAGTACACCCCGCCACCATAATGCAGGCCAGCACAAACAAAAATATACCAAACAATAGGTGTGCGCTTATATTTATAACCACACCCACGGTGCAACCAATCACTTGAGGTGCAGAAGCACGTGCACGTACCAGCTCATTCACAGAAGGAAAACTACAAAACATGAATGTCCGTCAACAATATCAACAAGATGTTGCTTTTCTTTTCACAGTTTCACTCTGTGGGAGAGAAAACTGGGGCAGTGTTTAATCAGGACACCTAGAAGTACACAGCCTGGAGCAAGAGACAATGTTGTCACAGATGCAACCGTCAAGAAGAAAAAAAAAAAGATAAAAGACAGACAAAATACACCATCAAGCCCACAGGGGGATTGGACCAGTCTGAAGACAACAGAAATAGGAGGAGTTTCTGATTTTAATTAAGACATCAGCTATTAAATGGCAGCTGAACATATTTCACCTTTAACAAAAAAGTCTGGATTTTTCAACATGAGTTTCTTTTGTTTTTCATTCACATTTTTAAATAAAAGATTAACAGATTAACAGCATTACAGACAATACAGCTGCTGAAGTTTAGAGGAGAAATGTTACAGGTTGAGACAGCAAAGAGAGTCTGGCAGTTTCCCAGTCTGATAATTACACACCCACAGACTACGATAATAACGTCTGTGAAGAAGTTAAAACACTAAAGGACGTTTTCCCAAGGAAATGGGCTGTACCAGCAGCATACAGGAACTTCTACATGAATTTAAAAATTATAATTATTGAAAAACGTCACATAACGTGGCTCTGAGACAGAGGCAAAACGTAAAAATAAAAGTCTGATAAGAGTGTTGTCGACAAGTATGGGTTAGACTGTAAAAATCTTTTTTTTTCTTTATCTTACTCTCTTTATGCCACTAACTTCACATAATGAGTTTATCGCCTTTTAGGAATCAACTCACACAAACACTCCCATGGCTCCATCCAAGGTTTTACTGTAATTCCAGTGATGCTGTACCCTTTAACAGTTACACATCGCCATCTGTAGGTCAAACCTTCAAACGTTTGTCTGAGGTTTTAAATTGGACCGTCGCTAAGACTTTGATCAGCCTTGGATATAAAATAATTAAAAGAACTCAGCATAAACCTTAACTTTGTGTGAACTTACTTGATCCAGGGGGCTCTTTGTAATGGAGCTTCTTGATTTGCTGACATTTCCATCAGTGTCTAAAAAAAACCAGACATTTGCATTATCTCCAAAAAGATTTTGTTAGCATCTGAATGCACAGGTTTTGTTTTCCTAGCAGGATAAAGTATGTACTTTCATATTTCTGGTAGTAATTATCGTCAGTGTTGGACTCAGATGGTAGATGGACAGGTTGAGCTCAGATTGCAGAACCATTGGAAATCATTTCACATGAGAAGCGCCTTGCTGGTTCTTCTCATAATTTTTCCTCGGTGGAATATTTGGTGAAAATTACAAGGACAGATTCATTATGGGCAGCAGTAGTTCAGAAGGGAGAGTGGGTTGTCCAGTAATCGGAGGGTTGAACGATCATCTCTGTTGTGTCCTGGGCCAAGACAGACCTTGGCGGTTGGAGGGACCGGTGGCACAAGTGTTTGGCAGCCTTGCTTCCGTCAGAGCACCCCAGGGCAGCTGTGGCTACATTATAGCTCATCATCACCAGCGTGTGAATGTGTGTGTGAATGCATGAATGACTGACTGCATTGTGAAGTGCCTTGGGGGGGGTTGTAGGACCCTAGAAGGCACTATGCAAATACATTTACCATTATCTTCCCATGGGGTCAGCGCTTCATTAAATGGTTATACAGTCTCACTAGACAGAGACAGGTTGCGAAGGATTTCAAGGCTGATGAAACAAACGTTAAGTCAGTCAGACACGATGGACTCAGACAGTTTAATAGACGTATGCTCCATTATATTGCAATGCTTGTCCTAGTAGAGGTGCAGCATCAAACATGTGGAAGCTCCAGATGTTTGGAGGCTATATCTCAATCACATAATCAGCAGCATTTCAATTCTACTTTCTGGGGTATGGACAAGTGCAGATGATCAAATGAAGAAAATCAGTTAGAAAACAGCCCATGTGTTTGGTTTGTATGAACTCAACACAATGTTCAATAAGTGAAGCCGTTTTAAAAGTGTCTGCTGCATCGAGCAGGAACGAAGGTCTGAATTATGACTTTTATTAGCTGAAGGGGTAAAATGAAAAGAATGGGGAGACATATCCAGTCTATAAATATAATGTAGGTGATTGGTCTGTTGACTTCCTGTGAGGGTCTAACTAACACCGCTGTTGTTTGTTGTGAGTTTGCTGCATCAGTTGTAGGTTACCGGGTAACTCTTGGAGATCCAGTCTGTGTCGCCTTCTTTTCCCAGCAGAGTCCCGGCCTCCAGCGGGTAGCCGACCCACCAAAGCCCCACACTGCCTTCACAGAGCAGCGAAGGCCCCAAAGCAAAACCACGAGGAAGAACTGAGGACAGAAAGTAGGTGACATCAGAGGGGACAGGAGGAAAGTGACGAGCCATCAGCCTGTAGGAACAACATAAAAAACAAAGGTCATGGGTTACAATTATGCCTTTTTGGGAGACTTTATGAAATGTAGCATTCAGGATCTGTATGCTAGAGGCCCTAAACTGTGAAAAGAGTACAGTAATAATGGTTGGAAACTGTTTAATCAAAACTTAATTTATATGTATACAAATTTTATTTGTATGAAATATGACAAGTCTCTTAGATTATTTTAAGCAAAAAACTTGAAGAGAATACATTATACACTTTATAATTTGTTATTTATTGGGCAAGAAAATGCTGTTCCACAAACAAATCTCTTCGCTCAAATATAAAACCAAAGTGGCTGATTTACATGGGCTAAAAATCCATACTGGTCAAAGCACAGAAACTTTGAATCCATGTTTGATGAAAATTTGAAAAAATAAAGACGCAAAGAAATGTTCACACTAATATTAAAAGAACGTCGCTTTTATAATTGTCTGAGGTAACACTACATAATAAATAAGGATGCAATCTGCTTTAATTATATTAACAAAAATAACTGTAAACAAAAACATATTAATTGTATGCAGCCAACCAGACTCGTAACGCAGAGAAACTCATTGTTGGCCAATATATATTGAACCAGAGCTAATCGGTTAGCTGTAAGCTACACAGAATTAGTAACTAAGTTCCCGTGATAATATCGTTATGGTTAAAATACATGTATACAGACTGTTGCTAAATACGTCGCACAGGCCAGTGCTGACGGTAGATTTAGGTGTTTTTTAAACAAACAGCCCGAGAGCAGCGACTAGCTAAACAATAAGCAGATATCTGTGAGACATGAACCGTTTAAAAAATCGCTTACAAAATAAAATTACTTTCTACATACACTGTATTTGTTCGGCGTTTTGAAAAGATTTGTTCTATCTTTTAGTCCAGCAAAAACTCTGGGAAAGCTATCGTTATCCAGCCAGAATACATATAACCGGAAGTCCGGTAAGAAACATAGCTTGAAGACTTGGGTTCCGCAGAATTAAAGAGTAGTAGGACCTGGCTGCAGACATCAGCTGGTGTGTCGAGAGCAAGATGGCGTGTCATTACTTTTACCGGAAAATCGACGAGCGAAAGACCTCGGCAGGAAGTTGGTCTTTTTTTGGCGGCCGCTACGTTGTTTTTGTTTCAACCATACTCGGCGGGTTTCAATTGAGGAAAGGTAAGGATAAGGATGATAGATAAAGAAAGAAGGATAAGGATGAAATTAACTAATTGTTGCAATCGTTCTTAGTTCTTAAATGTAGGCACTGTAGCTTTTAAAGCTTTACCAGAGAATTACTGCAAAGGCACCGTGTTTCATAGCTAATTGTATCAATATTAACACGCAGTCTTAAAACTAATGCAGGGAGATCACAAGCTAGCTAACACAAAAGATACATAAATAAAGCTATCAGCAATTGTAGCTTAGCTTTAACTTAGCTATTTGAATTTCTGGTCTCCCTGTTTGTTAAAACAGTTAAAGTAATAATATTAACTTTATATATAATTTAGATATGATATAAAGACCACAATTTCTAATACTGACTTGACTGAAACGTTATTAATACCCTTTTTTAATTAAAAAGCGTAGATTTTCAGAGATTTGTAAGTGGTTTCAATCACTAGTTTTCATACGAGGCTAAAGTTAGCTTCCGATTCGGGAAATGGCTAAAGGGCTAATACACCCAATTTTTCTCTACTCTGACCATTTTTATTCTGCTCTAGCTCAAAACCTACAACACATACACTCTTCAAACCTGTTTTAGATTATTCTGGGCTCGTAGGAATGCATAAAACATAGTTTGTGATTTGTGAAACCTTCCTCTGATTTGTGAAACTTCAAAAAGACAGATTTATGAATTTATTTTTCAGCATCTGGCCCACACTGGAACTGGTCCTGTGCACCCAGAAATAAAATGTATTTTCTGGACAAGCTTAGCTTTCAATATCTCTAAATATTTTTCAGTTATTGACTTGTGTGTGGTGTGCTGGGTCATTCTACTGTGGTTGCACAAATCAGGTGTCCTGCAACAGGTACAATAACTTTGAAATAGTAGCCACTTCTCTAATTAATGCCGCCCTCCTTCTGATTCTGTTTCAGAATAATCCTAACCTTATAAAAAATAGATATTTTTGTCGACTGACTGCTTTGATCGGGTTTGGTTTATATTAATATTACCGGATTTAAGCACATGTAGCTGCAAATCATTCAGGAGTTACAGCCCTTAAATATAGATCTAAAATGAATATCGGACTTCTTCAAGTGACCCTGACAAAACTCCTTACATGTGCTTGTATTCTTCATTTGCTAATAAGATGTATTTTTATCTAAATTACAGGACAATCGAGGCTTTGAAAAATGGAACACAGGCAGTGATTTCAGATGGGGAAATCAAGGTAATGTTTAATTATAATAAATTAAGACTCTAAAATTGGACATAGGATAATGCAATCCCTTGTTTTCTGTGGTAATGTTGCTTATTTTTAACTCTTGTCTCTACTCAGACTGTGTATAAGGATCTCTGCAGCAGGTGGAGTGAAGTCTGGCCGCATGTATCTGGCACAATCCAGGTGTCTCGCTTAAATTAAAGCAAAGACTAAAGCCACTGATGTTCCACTTTGCTGATGCACAGGTAAATGTATACTGACTTACAATAAGCTGCATCACATTTATTTATGTGGATGCATGGTTAGTGGGCCACCTGGGTCCGTTGTCTAATGCTGAGAGGAACATTTTGTTCATTTTTATGTTAACGTGTTTTATAGGTTGACGAGCTGACAGAGCGGATTGGTTCATGCTCAGGAATAGATAAACTAATAAAGAAGAGAGAGTTCCAGTTTCTGGACTTGGTGTTTGATGTCCTTGTTCCAGAGGTACAACGCAGTCTTCAGCAGTGATTGGTATAAAAGTTACTTTTCGACATTTGACAGTGTATGAAGTAATCCTTAACAGAGTTTGGTGGCAGGAGAATCTCGTCTATGCTTTTTGTGGATGATGTGGTCCTCCTAGCTTCACCCAGCTCTGACCTTCAGCTCTTGCTGGATAGGTTCGCGGCCGAGTGTGAAGCAGCTGGGATGAGGGTCAGCACCTCCAAATCCATGGTTCTCGACCGGAAAAGGGTGGCTTGCCAACTCCGGGTCGGGGGAGAGGTCCTACCTCAAGTGGAGGAGTTTAAGTATCTCGGGGTCTTGTTCACGAGTGACGGTAGGAGGGATCGGGAGATCGACAGGCGGATCGGTTCAGCGTCTGCAGTGATGCGGACGCTGAACCGATCTGTCGTGGTGAAGAGGGAGATGAGCCAGAAAGCCAGGCTCTCGATTTACCGCTCGATCTACGTCCCAATCCTCACCTATGGTCATGAGCTTTGGGTAATGACTGAAAGAACGAGATCGCGGATACAAGCGGCCGAAATGAGTTTCCTCCGCAGGGTGGCCGGGCTCAGCCTTAGAGATAGGGTGAGGAGCTCGGACATCCGGGAGGGACTCGGAGTAGAACCGCTGCTCCTCTGGATCGAAAGGAGCTAGTTGAGGTGGTTTGGGCATCTGGTCAGGATGCCTCCTGGACGCCTCCCCAGGGAGGTGTTTTGGGCATGTCCTGCCAGCAGGAGGCCCCTGGGTCGACCCAGGACACGTTGGAGAGGTTACATCTCCAATCTGGTCCGGGAACGCCTTGGGGTCCTGCCGGAGGAGCTGGTGGAGGTGGCCGGGGAGAGGACGGTCTGGAGCTCCCTAGTTGGGATACTGCCCCCACGACCTGGACCCGGACAAGCGGAGGAAGACGACGACGTTGAAGTAATCCTGCATGTTTTTCAGGTAACAAAAGTGTTGGAAAAATGGGAGGGGATGAATCGATATGCAGTTGAGAAAGCCATGCTTCAGCAAATTCATTTGTACCCAAAATAAAATGGTTGTGAAATCAAGTGTTTCTTTGGTTTTATTGTTTTTCACTCAAAATAAATACCAACTAGCTAAATAGTTATCAGCTGTAGTAGTTAAATTCTGTTGCAATGAGCTGCTGTGATACACAATAGGACAGTGTTATGGATATTTAATAACTAATTTTTGTTGCTGGTGAGAGAGGAGTGTTGCTGAAATGTTTTTCACTGCTTCTGGGAGTCCTGTACTTTAGCAATTGGTGTAGGTCAAAAGTTCATCTTGGGCTTAACAATAAAACTGAATATTTAGCCAGTAATATTTTGTTTGCACATTTTGAAAAGTCTTAGTTTAACGTGTTCTCATTTTATCCATATGTTTTTTAATTCACTTTACAGCCTTTTATTGTGTGTGTGTGTATATATACATATATGTGTGTGTGTGTGTGTGTGTGTGTGTGTGTGTGTGTGTATATATATATATATGTCTATGTATGTATGTATGTACTACTGTCATTAAAATTTCCTGTCTGAAGAACAAAGGGATTTAATATTCAATTTTCATGCAACGCAGGTAACAACGTTACTTAAGTTTGCCGGTCCAGATCTGAAGAGAAAAAAAAAATCCGAAATAAAAAGCTTTATCCGGTAAGTTTTGTTTTTTAAAAAACTACTTCCAGTGAAAGTAATGACTTCTGGTTAAGGTAATGACCCACCGTGTAATTTTTCTCTTAAAAGTGTACAAATCGAAGAGAAAAACGACACGGTATGGTTTTGACAAATCCAAACTACTTTTGTGCTTTGTCAATAAAGCGTATTCAAGAAAAAAAAACTACTTCCGGCAAAGGTAATGACCCGAAAAAAACTACTTCCGGCAAAGGTAATGACTTCCGGTGAAGGTAATGACACTTGTTTTTCCGGATACGTCATTTCCTGTCACGGCAAAGACGCCAGCTGATGTCTGCAGCCAGATGCTCTTGGAATTAAACCCCAATACGGATGCATAAGAAGTCTGATTTAATTTAGGCTTGATTATCTGTAAAGATCAAAACACCAGAATTACCTCTAATTTCTCTCCAATAATTAAAAAAATTCAATCTGAGTTAAATCAGTGGTAACAAAGAGATTTAGGTTTAAGAGGACGAGTGTTGCTCTCCAAAGCAGAAGGTTTGTCTCGCCTGACTTATGCTGCCATATCTCTGCATGTGGACAACAGAACTTGTGGGGAAATTGACCGAATACTCTTCAACTTCTTGTGGAAAAACAAAACACATTACATTAGAAAGAGTGTAATAATGAACGACTATCAACATGGAGGACTCAATATCTTGGACTTCACTACCTTAAACAACACGTTTAAAATTAACTGGGCAAAACATTTTCTTAAAAATCCTGTCTCCATTTGGAATTTTATTCCTCACTATATCTTCTCTAAATTTGGTGGTCTAACTTTTATCCTGGGTTGTGACTACAATGTAGGAAAGCTTCCAGAAAAACTCTCAATGTTTCACAAACAAGTTCTATTAGCCTGGTCACTGATTTATAAACATAATTTTACTCCCCATACATACTTGACCTGGAATAACAGGAACACAGTGTATAAAAATAAATCATTGTTTTTCTCTTATTGGGTTGAGAAACAGATCATTTTTGTGAATCATTTGTATAATACTAATGGACAGCTTATGTCTTACACAGAACTCCTAAACACATATAAATTTCCAGCAACTCCCAAAGAATATGCCATACTGTTTGCTGCAATACCTATGGGTGTCAGAATGCTTTTTAAAGGTGTTCTACCAGTTGTACCGCACCTGAGTGAAGTTGCCCCCCCCACCTTCTTCAAATCCAACAAAAGTGGTATCAAACCATTGTGCTACGTTTGTGCTGGTTTGTGCTGCAAAAATTTTCGTTTGTGCTACTATCGTTTTAAAGATATTAATAAAAATTTCTGGAGGTCATCAGAGGTCAACCAGCCCCCCCCACATTAATGGAATCAAACAAAACTGGTGTCAATCAACTGTTCTACGTTTGTGCTGGTTTGTGCTGCTAAAATTGTCGTTTGTGCTGCTTCTGTCTTGAAGATATTAATGAAAATGTAAAGGTCAAAAGGTCAAACAGCCC